TGGCTTCTGATGCAAGTTTTTCAAGATAAATAAAAAATTGAACTTACACTTGAATTACCCTGAATCATGTTCTAGTCTAGTTAACACTGTTTCCCTCCCCCCTCATTTAACTTTTCTTTACTGCCTCTACTGTGGATTTTTCTTTTTCAACATAGCTCAGATCATGTCACACTCATCCTTGCAAACCTCCAAGGGTTCCATCTCACTTTTAGTAAGAACCAAAGTCTTCAGCAACAGCCTAATACTGAACTCTACCTCCACCTACTTACTCTCTGGTTGGTCCCTAGCCTTGGTCACAGGGGTCCTAGGAGTTCTTTAAACACAGAATGTTCTCCAGATACACGCAAGGCTTTTGCACCTACTGTTCTCTCTGCCTGGAATGCTCTTCCACATCCCTTGTCTCTGTTGGGTCTTTAAGCAAATGTTACCTTCTCAGAGAAGCCTTCACTGACCATACTTTAAAAAATGCAGCCACTCCTCTCCAGCACTCCTTGTTCCCCTTCCCTGCTTTATCCTATTCCATTGTGCTTACCCCTCTCTAGTATACTATGTATTTTAATAATGCATATGTTTCTTGCCATCTGCTCCCATTAGAATTAAGCTTTGTGAAGACAAGGACTTGGGTTTTGTCAGTTGCTCAACCATGTCACAAAGGTTCCAGGGTCTTTCCACCTTCCTCCCTTATTCCTCGAGGCTGGCTCTCCTCTTGGCTTCAAAAGGGACACTGCCATTCCAAGCAACCATGCAGGTGATGTTCAGAGGCAGGAATGGGGCATCCCTGTTATGTGTCCCTTTAATAATGAGGCAAACTTCCCCAGAAGAACCCAGACTTCGCTCACATTGCCTTTCCCAGGATTCCCATGGGATACACATGCTTCTGGCCCGGCCTGTGGACCGGCTTTGAAGATTCAGTGAACCATCACCACCACCAAGTTGTGTGAGTCAAAAATAGTAGCACATATCTAAGAATAGAATAGGAGATGCCTCTCTCTGGGCCAAGGCAATCAGAAGTGAATTCTGACATATGTTCTAAAAGGCTGAGGTGGGAGATAGCTGGCTTCCTTAGAAAATGGGGAAATAAATCTAGGCATCTACCCTCTTCCCATAGCCTATCAGCCCTCATCTGACCCTGCCGAAAGAAGCCAACATGGAGGAACAAGAATCCTCTAATTTTAAACATCAGCACAAGGATGTAACAAGCACTTGGAACAGAAGTGGGTACCACATACACATAATAAAATCTTCATTTCCACCTTCACCACCTCCCCTACCCAAGGCTCTTCATAAGACCACCAGTCCACAACTCAGCAACAGCCCACTGCTGGGGAAGAGCGAGAACTCTACCAAAGCCTTTGGAGACATACTTCTGAGTGCTCTGATCCTTGCCCACCACAAAGGCCCGTGAGATGACAGCCTCGGTCAAATCCTTCCTCCAGGGTAGGAGCTGTGATAAGTTAGAATCACAGCTTTCAGGTGTCAGCCCCTTTAGGGATGGTCCCAGTGTCAGAGGGCTGCCTGGACCGAGATCATGCCTTTCCCATGGCGCCCACATCCAAGAAGTGAATGAAGTGAGAGTATAAAGCCACTGGACAGCTTTTACTGATCAGGTTCTGATTCCTAAAGTACACTCTGCTTGTTACCCTATTTTTCTGTTCTTTTGAAATGTCCTACTTTTAATTATTTTATGTTTAGTTTTATTATGCCAGTAGTGCAAACCTCCTTTACTATTACTCTTTTTCAAAAGTTTATCAGTTATCCTTACTTGTTTAGTCTCAGTTTTCACTGAGGTTGCATTCAATATTTCGATTAAATTTATGAAGAATGACAATGTGGCCTTCCCTCCAGGCTCTCCATTTATTCAATGTCTCATGGTAAAAATCTAGTGTTGTAAATTTTTAAAGAAATTAAAGAAATAAAGAATTCCACTATTAGAATAATACATACCATTATGCAAAGATACTCAAGACTATATAATCATTCCTCCCTCCAGCCCCAGCTTTGTCAGATTGAAATGATTCTGATATGATCTTGGTCCACTGTCTCTCAGTCTAGTGGCTAAAACCAAAAACTAAGAAGCAAAAAACTCAGATGATTGGTATGAGTTGTTCAAGGCATTAGAAATGGGAGCAGAAAATTAGCTCTGGCTTAAAAAGTGGGGAAATGAAGCTAAGAAATGGCTGGGCTGATCCCTGTTTATCTCCTTTTTATCTAGTCCACTGAAAACCACAAAACCACTATGGTGGAATAACGGAAAGCAAATATTATTCATAAATGTAGACAACAATGAACGTCCTCACTGCCTCAAGTCAGTCCGTCACTTCCAGGCACGGGTGCCCCACTCCTATAATCACGTTGCTGGTTCTTACCTATAGGATCCTGAATTGGTTCAAGGTCTAGTTGAGAATTAACAAAAGGAACTTCACCCAAAAGTAGCTTCAAGATGCTGCTAAAACATCTCTCAACAGTAAAGCCAGCACATTTCTTAGTTCAGACCCAGAAAGGTCATGAATATATTCATAATAGCCTCCTATTTAACATACTTCTAGGTCTGGACATCACTATTTTCATTTTGCTCAACAAATTGACATCTCTCAAATTTAACAGTTTTATCTCTAAGAATAGTTTCCCAGGTCTTGGAAAGAATTTTGCCATTTCCCCCCAAGATGTCTGGGGATATTAGGTCTGAGAATACTAGAAAAGAGGTCTAATCTACATAAACTCATGTATTATTTATC